TCTCTCTCTCTCTCTCTCTCTCTCTCTCTCTCTCTCTCTCTCTCTCTCTCTCTCTCTCTCTCTCTCTCTTTCCTGCATCATCTATGGTTGCTCTGTTGATATCGGTAAAGCCTGTCCGACATTAATTTGTGAATGATATTATTATACTTTCACACGCGAGGTAACCGACGTAGAAGTTAGACTACCATTGAGTGGCCTCAAAGTTACTGCAATGGCGGCGAACGGCAATAACCTGCGTATTGACAATAGAGCGTGCTATAACTGTGGTCAGGCAGGACACATCTCACGCTACTGCCCCCTTCCTGATAGACGGACTAATATTATTCCTTCTACTAGTACCGCGATCGTACCGGCGCAACCGCTGTTGACTTTACCATCCAGCAATTTTGCGATAGGCACTGTGGCTTCTGCTGCTACCTATGAGGGACAGTACAACGGTCAGTACTCCGATAAGGGATGGTTACGAAACAGAATGGCAAATCTCGAGGACGTCGTAGGCAAGATCAAGGAGAAGCACGATGCAGATGTAGCTAAAGAATTGGCAGTCAAAAAAGAGGAAGAGCGTAAGAAGAAGGAAAAAGCGGAAGAAGATCGGAGGCTCCGTGAGAAGCAGGAGAGGGAAGATTGGCAGTTAAAAATGAGGGAAGACTTGAACAGTCGATGGGAAGCAGTTTGCGACAAGATCGATAAAAAGGATAAGGAGAACAACGAGGTAACTAAGTTGCGTGAAGAAGTTGCAAGGCTATCGAAGATGAACGGCCAGGGCGAACCGTCCACATCGGTGACGAAGCCGGTCATGGAGAGTGAGTTGGTTGAACGTTTGAGACGAGAACAAGAAGAGTTGAGGACGGCAACTGATCGTCGTTTCGCTCTGTTGGAAGAGAAGTTGGCAGCTCTTGGCAAAGCCAAGGATGAAGCCAAGGCCAATGCCAAGTTATGGAAAGCGGAAGCCTTCCGTCCCGGCAACAAGCGGGGAAGCATCGCCATTGGAGCCACTCCAGGGTCTCATGCCAGGGCACGGCGATGTGTTACACCTGCAGTTGTGCCCACTGACCCGCGGGTGAATCCCCAACTTCAAGGTATCATCGAGAGGCATGCAATGGAAGTCAACGTGTTAAAGGAGTTACGTTTGAGGGATGCAAACGACAAGATTGAAGCTTAGAAGGAGGTTGAGAGACTGAAAGAAGCCATGGCTTCGCTCGAAATGAAGAGGGGAAGTGCGATCAATCTGAAAAGCAGATTGGACGAGGTGTTCGGGCCTTCAGCAAGGAAGCCTGTCTGCACTTCGGCTAGGAAGAAGGTTGAGACACCGGGCGAGTCGGTCAACGAACGGGAGGCTTTTGCCAGGGACAAGCGCAAGCAGTTGAAAAAATTGAAAAAGGATCAGGTGGTTGCAATTTGCAACAAGGAAGGGATTGTCTACACCAAGTTGGAGCAGACTAAGGAGGAGATTGTTTGTCAAAGGGTAGCGAAAGCATTCGACGATGAGAAAGGTAAAGGTGTCACCGTATCAGTTGTCAAAGTTACCGAAGAAGGAAGCAAGGATCTCGGTAAGAATGATGGGCAAGACACGGCTACTTCTTAGTGTCTTGCCCGAGCGCGACTCAACTTTGGAGTACCATTAGATTGCTGTGTAAGTTTAGGTCTCTCTCTGGTTCTCTGTTACGAGATAAGATGGTCAACTTATTCTTGAGCCTTCTCGTTTGTTTATTGATCTTGCTGGGTCAGATTCCATGGGGTGAGAAATTAGCTCCGTTCGTTTTCGATGGTTTGGCTAGTGATGGATGTTGGAGTGATTGATGGAATGGACCCGTCGTTTATGCGCTAGTTTTCCCCTGGTGTAGGCATGTTTATGTAGGGAGTACTGGGCGTGATGTGCATACGAGGTGGGGTGAACATGTTTATAGGTCAACACAGTCGAAAGTAGTTGGTGAAGGCCGAAGGAATGAACGATTGTATAAGTGGATGCGAAGGAAGGGTTGTGCTAGCTATGTTGCAATCCCACTTTGTGTATGTTCCGAAGATGACGTGCTTGACGTTGAGAAGTTTTTTATTAGGACATTTGGTCCGGTGCTAAATAGTAGGGACAAAAAGAAGCGAACGAAGAGGTGTCGTCCGGGGTGTAGGGAACAAATGAAACGCAAGGAAGTTCGACAGGATGTGAGGAAGGATAAAAAATGTGTTGATCGAAGGATTGTATGTTTTCACTCGAGTACCAGGGAGGTGACTAGAAGTTTATGGAGAATTCTGGAGAATTGTAGAATTTCCAATACACACTGTGTTCGGATCGTGTGTACGGGAGGGGAGTTGTTGATTGATAAATGGAAAGTCGTGAGACGTTTGTTTGGAGGGAGCATCGTGTCCAGTACTTTCGGGCGCGTTGAATTGAGGCATGCACGTGGATGGTTGCAAGGGGGTGTATCCTTCGTGGTTGAAAATATTGTTTCATCTCTAAGTCAATCACTTGTGTATAAGGGACCGTTAGTTGGGTTTCTGAGTCACCCACAGAGTAGATGTTTGATGCGGCTTTGGAATCTGGAGCTGATGGTATTTGCCTATACCGCTATTCGTGCTTTCAGTGAGAAACGGACTAGATCTCGATTACGTGGGTTGTTGTCTACATGCATTCGTTCACATTTTGGGATACAAGTTCGGCAACGAGTGGTAATTCGGATTACGTTTGATGATTCGGTGTGCAAGGCTAAAGGTCGTTCGTTGGTGGCTCGGAATTTTGCGTGGAAGTCGATGTTGATCAGGAGGATGCGTGTTGTATGGTGTCGTAACAAAACTGTGGGAGGTTTATTGCACAATTTTCGCCAAGTCTCGCGTAGTCGTCATTTTTCTTATTCTTGTGTGCGGAGTGATGCTCGTTTTCCGAGAACCAACGGCCACGTCGCGTTTAGAATTAATGATTTCGATTTATTTCCATCTTGGCTGAAGAACTCGAAGAATATTGTTCGTCCATCCAAACGGCATCATGTGTCTTGGCTAAGAAAACAGATAGTGTCGTCTCTTTTTGCTCTTTCCTTTTTACCGACTCCTCCCGGGTTAACTATTTCTCATTCTGCTATTAAGGAATGCTTTTCTAGGTCCGATACTTCTACTTCTTTTTCTTTTTCTTTTTCTTCTTCTTCTTCTTCTTCTTCTTCTTCTTCTTCTTCTTTTTCTTTTTCTTCTTCATGTTTGACCGAAGGTATCTTTCTGTCCGAAGAAGATGTCGCTCCCTTTGCTGAGATGTTTGAGGGCTTGGTATGTTCACCGATCGACCATAATGGAGGGGACACTTTTGTCTGCTGCCCAGTTATTCTCGAACAAGGGATGAGTAAGCTTTTCTTTGGGAATCCGGCATTTGAGTGTCCGGAGATGATCGAACAGGATGTTTTGCGGCGTAGTCATGATGTATATGAGAAAATGCAGCTACGGCGAATAGGGGTTTGAAAAAAGACAAGGGGATTGGGTAAGGCCTACTGTATGCCTAAGCACAAAAACATCGAGCGGTGGCGACCCATTTGTCCCTCCTATCCGGAGTGTTCAGCAGCATGAGGAAAAGCGGTCTTTAAAGGAGTGAATGCTATGTTGTGGAGTCTGTCAAGCTGCTCCAATTTGAATTTGAAATGTGTTGATGGGTTGTTGAAGGCAATTGGAAAAGTAAATCAGGGGTTGACAGATGATGAGGTACTGATTGGTGCGTCCTTCGATATTAAGGAAATGTTTTCTAACTTACCTCATGCCTCTATTCTGCGGGCTCTTGAATGGGTCATTGATTTTTGGAAAATCGAAGGGATTGATTCTGTTGCTATTAAGAAACGAGGGAAGAGTGCAAAACTGTTACGGGGTAAGACTGATCAGGATTGGAGAAAGTTGGATTTTGATGATATTTTTACCTTTGTCAAGTTCGAATTGGACTTTGCCTTTATATCTGCTGCTGATAGAATTCTGCAACAAACTGTGGGAATCCCTATGGGTAAGTCTAGTAGTCCAGCGCTGACGTGTCTTCTATATGCATTCAATGAATTCTTGTATTTATCCTTCTTGGGGTGTGACCGTAAGTTGTTGTCCGGATTCCGTTTGGTTGACGATGTTTCGGTGTTTGTTCGCTATAGGAGGAGTGTTCCGGAGTCAAGGCTGAAGGCCATCACTATGATTGAGAGTTTTCAGAAATGTTACGATGAGAATTTAACTCTTGAGAGAACTAGTTCTCGTACCGGGTGGGATTATCTTGGGTGTGAGCTGCGTGTTACTGAAGGGAAAATGGGGGTTATTTGTCTTCCTGTTTTGAAGAAACAAAGGTCGAAATCGGCTGGGAAATTGACCTTTCAATGCATCCAGGATTATAGGTCTTATAATTCAGTCGGCAGCAAAAAACAGCGATTACTGGGTCCTTCCTTCATAGGGCAAGAACATATACTTCGGTAGAGGGAACAGAGTTACCCTTTCTTTTGGCCCTAAAATACGAGTTATGGAAGAGAGACTATCCTGATGACTTGTTTGACAATGCTTTGATCTGCTTCTCGAAGAAATTCGGAGGGTTGTGGGGTTCTTGGATTCCTCTCTTGACCGGGTGGAGAAGTGAGAATTGGTGTAGTTCGCGTCTGGTAGCCTCGGTTTAGGGGTACTTGGAACAACAATGTTGTCGATTGGGGTAATTGGGGGGTACGGGTCTCCTTTTTGTGGACCAAAGGGTGAGGTGTTAATTGCAGCATGTTTTAGGTGGTTGATGAGACAGTAGAATAGTGTGGGTCTCCTTTTTGTAGACCAAAGGGTGAGGTGCTAATTGCGGCCTGTTTTAGGCGGTTGATGAGACAGTAGAATAGTGTGGGTTGCGAAGTGGGTGTCAACGCGATTTGAACTCAGGACTGTTTGAATTTTTTTTTTTTGTTAGTTGCTTTTAGGACTTCTACCGGGCTTATAGAAGAAGTTTCTAGATTAGCCACCCCGACTTCTGTGCTTTTCTAGCAGGATATAAACAAGTTCAGTGAAGTTCTTTACAGACTTCACAAGACCCCTGATGAGTCGTGGTGGGCGGCCACGCGAAACCGGTCGTGAACTACGCCAGCGGCTTCGGTCGCACAGTGCTTCATGTTGTCTTTTTCGATAATCAAGTCGCGTTCGGGTTTCACTGCGCTTATCCTGTGTGTTCTTATCGTCTCTATCTTATCTTTCCCCTTTTCTCTCTCTCTCTCTCTCTCCTCTCTCTCTCTCTCTCTTTCCCGCATCATCTATGGTTGCTCTGTTGATATCGGTAAAGCCTGTCCGACATTAATATGTGAATGATATTATTATACATAGCTCACGCCAGGGGTAGCTAACCCCTCTGTAGGATCTCCACTTCTTCATGCACTGACTCATCTCCAAATCGTTCCACGATGTCACTTCTTCACTGACAGGCACCTTAGGTAGCCGTTGAAGGCGTGTCAATCAGCGTTTTCGTGTTTATCGTGCTTTTAATGTCGTATATTAAAGTTCATACTCTGCAACGTAGTTGCCCATCGTCCCATCATACTCGATTAATCCTTCGATTTCTTCAGAGCCAGCACGAGTTCGTGGTCCATAACGAGAGCGAACTTCTGACCATATAAATACACTCTTAAATGGTTGATGTTTCAAAGCACTCTCCCGTAGGAGCCGAATAGTACCACTTGCAAGTTGGTGGTGTTTTCGAGGCGTACTCCACCACGTGTTTCAACCCATCTAGTCGCATATGGGCCAAAATCGTCGATATTGCCTCTGGATGAGAGTCTGTCATGATAACGAACGACTTTTATGGGTTCAACCTTATCAGAGTTGGGGTCAAAATCATAGCAGTTTTCAAACCGTGGAATGCCTGATCGCACCACAGTGTTCAAATCAACGACTAGTATTTCCTTGGGAGGTTTGTGAGTGACCATATAATAGATGCAAAACCCTTGATAAACCTTCAGTAGCACGAAGCCAGTCAAAAAACGCGCGAATTTGTGTGAGCGATGTAGGTACCGATACATCTCGAACCGCTGTCAGTGATTACGTGTCCCATAAACAAAATTTCTGACAGGAAAAACTTACACTTGTCAGGAGCAACCTTGAACCCGACGTCAATCAATGCATGCAACATCCATTCAATGTATTGCATATGTCCATCGTATGACCTTAAATACACCAAAATATCATCCTTATACACAATAATAGTATAATATAGTAATTAATTATACTCTGCGCCAATTGTATTTTTGACACGACGTTATGA